AGGGCCTTATTGAAAGAACTGATGTCCTTGAAGCCTATGCCCCCGTCTGATTTTGGAATTGAGAGAAGATGCCAAGCTTTCCAGTGCAGTCCAGCCTCTTGAGTATCCCCTTTACTCCACCAGTACTTTGCACTCAATCTAGAAATGTCTTTGCAGACAGAGGTTGGTAGTTTAAAGCAGGACATTGTAAACACTGGTAAGGCATTGATGACAGCCTTAATTAACACCTCCTTGCCAGCAACTGAGATCATCTTATTCTTCCAGCTCCAAAGTTTAGCTTTTACTGAGTCTAAGACATAAGAGAATACTTCTGATTTTGATCTGCCAATCCCCAGAGGGAGGCCCAAATATCTGGTAGAAGAATGCAGTTGAATACCAGCCATAATAGCACAAACTTGATTCTGAGTAGTAAGAGAGGTGTTTTTGCTAAAAAATGCAGATGATTTTTGGATGTTCACTCTTTGGCCTGTAAATAACATGTACCTCTCCAACAAGTTCATCAATTCCTGAGCTTGATTAATTTCAGCTTTGCAAAAGAACAAGGCATCATCTGCAAAGAGCAGGTGAGATAATGCTGGGCCATTCTGAGACAATTTAATCCCAGTAAGAGCTCCTCTAGCCAATGAATCAGAGATGAGAGCAGTGAGTAACTCTGTGACAATAATGAATATGAAGGGGGATAAAGGATCCCCCTGTCTAATTCCTCTAGATGGAGAGATAGCACCAGTCAAAGATCCATTCACAATAAAAGACAGGGAGGTGGAAGTAATACATACCATGATAAGCTTGACCAACTCCAAACTGAAGCCCATTCTGATCATAATTTTTTCAATGCAGGTCCACTCAACTCTATCAAAGGCTTTCATAAGATCCAGCTTTAAAGCCATAAAGAAATTCCTGCCAGACCTATGTCTGTTGAGAAAATGAAAGACTTCCTGTGCCAATATCACATTGTCTAGAAGTTGCCTGTCCTGAATAAAGGCAGATTGGCTTGGACTAATACAAGCAGACAAGCAGCATTTGAGTCTAGAGGCCAACAGTTTGGATAGCACTTTATAGACCACAGTACAAAGAGAGATAGGTCTGTACTGATTAAGAGATGAGGGAGCATTACATTTAGGCACTAGGGAGATTATTGTATGGTTCCAGTACTGTAAGAGCATACCAGAGTTGAAGAAACTTTGAACTGCTTCAATGAGATCCCCTTGAATTAGATTCCAGAAGTGCTGGTAGAAGTAGGCTGTCATGCCATCCTCACCTGGGGATTTGTCAGGGTGTAGACTGAACAATGCTGTCTTTATTTCATCATCTTCAACCGGTTTGAGGAGATCTTGGTTCATTTCTACAGAGATTGTTTGAGGAATGAGGTGTAACATGGAATCTCCCCCCCAAGAACCTTCTGAAGAGAACAATGAAGAATAGTAAGTGGTGATGTGATTTTCAATATCCCTTCTAGAAGAGCAGACTCTGTTGGCATCAGTGATAAGTCTTGAGATTGCATTATGCCTTCTTCTGGACATAGAATAAGCATGGAAGAATTTAGTGTTAGAGTCTCACTCCTTTAACCACTGTACTCTAGCTTTCTGAGCCCAGAATTTCTCCTCATAGGTATAAGCATCATTAAGGTCTTTTGAAACTGACTCCCATTTCTCCCAATTATCTGCTTTACCAGCTTCTCTGATTTCCTCAAGCTTATTAGAAAGAGCAGCTATCTTTTCTTGGTTCTGAGATTTAAATTTTGAGCTCCATATGAGAAGAGCAATTCTGGTCTGCTTCACCTTTTCTTTGAGCCTGAAGAAAGGAGTGCCAGATTGAGGTATGGACCAGGCTTTCTGCACTACCTCAGCAAATCCTTCTTTAGAAACCCATCTTCTATCAAAGGCAAATCTCCTCTTGCATCTAGATCCTTGAGAACCAGCATTAAGAATAAGGAGAGAGTGATCTGAGGCTGCTCTTATCACATTAAGCACTTTAGCATTGGGGTGTGAACTAAGCCATTCAAAGGACGCAAAAGCTCTGTCTAGCTTCTCTTCAACATATCCCTCAGCATCTCTGTTGTTCCCCCATGTAAACTGGTGTCCTTCCATACCAATCTCTTCCATTTCCATGTTGGAGATGAATTTGTTAAAGCCATCAAAACTTCTATCCTTTCTAGGTCTTCCCCCTTTCTTTTCTTCCTTGGAACAGATAGAGTTCCAATCTCCTATAGTAAACCACACTTCACCCAGAAGTATCTGTCTTCTTCCAAAATCATCCACTGGGCTTCCCTGGTTCTACTATCAGCACTCATATAAACAAACACACCCCAGCCTTGATCTTCTTGATTCAGAGAGTAGTTGACAGCAATGTAGAAATCCTTAGAAACCACATTGATAATATTCACATCTTGATGCCAGAGCAATAGAAGTCCACCACTCTGCCCTCTAGGATTCACAATATAGTGTCTGTCTGAAAATCCCAGCTTCCTACTAACAGATTTAACATAAGCACCATTATTTTTAGTTTCAGAAAGAAAGAAAAACCTTGGGTGGTGAGTCCTAAAAGACTCTTTGATTTGGGAAATTGTAGAGGGCCCACCCAGCCCTCTACAATTCCACACCGCAGCTAGCATTGATGGGTTGGGTGCCACTCTAGGCTGGCATCCCCCACCTTGTTGGTTGAGCCTTTCATCTTTTTCCCAGACTGTTCTGTGTCCTCTACTTCCAGAGAGTTAAGATCATCTCTGTCTCTTTTTGATCCTGAGGTTTGCTCAGTAGATGGACTTAGGATCATTTGTCTTTGCAGCCTCCCTTCCTTAGTTGCAGACCTTTTCCAGGAGCTCATTCTATCACTATATTACCTTTCTGCATTGAAGTAATCTTCTGGGAGGTTATGTTTGAAATGGAAGGGAGAGTGAGTTCAATCTCCATTAGCTTGTCTTTCTCTTGGATAGGAGTAGCAGAGGTGACTATCTCCATGGAGTGCTGTTGATTAGAAGTGGCCAGATCAGATAATACCAATTGAGTTGAAGGATGCAGATCAGGAACCTCTGAGGATGAGTCTACTGTATCTTGAGGGCATGTCTCCTGTAAACTTTTCATGGTTGTTATAGGGATAGGGCTTTCTGGGATTTGCCCAGTTGAACTTGATGGATTATTTGAATTGACAGTTGCAGGAGCTTGACTAGTAAATGGAGATTGTCTAGAACTTGAAGGACTTGCATAAGTCCCAGGTATGATATCTTCAGTCTTGAGCCACTCTCCATATTGCCCCTCTTTCAGAGCTTGATTTTTAATGTCATCAAGCCTTTTCTTGCAGCTTTTGTCCAGATGTCCAATGACTCCGCAGTAATAGCAAAGACTCACAAGCCTCTCATATTGGAACCCCACTGTCGCAATTTGATCCCCCAGCCTAATGTTTGTGCATCTTGGTATTGGTTCACCAAGGTTGATAGAAACCAGAAGTTTTAACATCTTACCGCCATGAGGACTTATGTTTTGAACTAGAACATTCTTGACATCCGGGAATGCCTTCCCTACTTTAAGCCCAACTTCAGCACTAAGCCAGTCAAGGGGAAGGTTAGTTACCTGTGCCCAGAGCAGCAACTCATTGAATCCTTTGTGCAGGCTATTTAACCCTTGCTCCCATTCACGGAGAATCAAATATTGGTTATCATAAATCCAGTTTGTACCGCTTGCAACTTTTTCCAAATCTTCCCTATTTTGGAAGATGAACTGAAAATAATTAGGTTCCAGCTCCTTTATATCCATTAGTTTTTGCAGCTTCCATATATTATTCATCGTACGCTTTATACCAATCCAGCTAGCACGGCGGTCACCTATCACCTTCCCGAACAGACTACGTCGGCATTCTTCTGCACTTCGTCGGATATCAACTTGCTCGATGTCTGTGACTAAGGCCTCTGCTGCCGACAAAGAAAATCCTTTGAGGCGGTTAGCTAGGTCTTCCTCGTTGCCCTTCTCTTGGGATTCACCCATGACTAACCACTGCAATTTCTCCAAATTCGACAGAGATCTTCCAATGAAACACACAAATTACAAAGACTCACAGAAAATCCACCCAGCAATCGGAGAATATGGAACGGTCCCAAGCGGGATAATCGCCAGAATTGGCAGCTCCCAAACGAGAGAATCAATTAATTAGCTGTTTTTTATCTAAAAGATTGAGCTTGAACATTATTATATTTTTTAATAAGTGGTTTT